GCTGATGTAATTCAAGCTGAGCCAATAGGTGAAGGAATAGTCAGTAATATCGTAATACCTCCTGGTATAGTGAATGAAGATCGTACCACTATTGTCAGTGTATCGCAACCACCTATAGATCCTGAATCAAAAATAATATCGGAAGCGGCTAATCGTTCGATTCAAGTGATCAGGTGACTTCATAAAATTCCTTTTCTTTTGCTAATAATAACATGATATATTTCACCTTGATAGTGAAACTCTTGATGAACAAGATGCTGCTGAATCTGCAGCGGTGCAAAATAAACTAACAGAATTGCAGAATGCTAGAAGAGATTTCATTATCGCGGTTGCAAACGTTGGTGGAAATGCTGTTCAACTTGAAGATGAAACTCGTCCCACCATTGCCTTTGAGCCTCCTCCTGTATCCCCTTTCTATCAACCACAAAGAAGATTTATACGGTAATATCTACAAGAAGATAGTATAATTAATGAATCTCTTATGATTGTTATATCTAATAATGATATTTACATAGACTTCCTGAGATAGAAGAACCTGAATACACTTTAGATCACCCAGATGTTGTCGCAGCTCGCAAGCATATGAAAAAATTAAAAGCCGATATGGAAGCAAGAGAAGCAGCTAGAAGAATGAAAGAAGAATTTGAAAAAATAGCAGCATCAGAACGTTTAACAGATGAGTTGGATTTGGATACTCCTTTTGAAGAACAATTGTACCAAGAAAGAGACATCTCTTGGGAAGAAGATGAGAGTGGCTTGGTTATGCCTCAACCATCTAGAATAAAAGCTCAAACTTTTCCTGTTCCTAAACGACAAATACCTTACCAATATGAACCATTTGAGCCAGAAGAATTAGAAAAATTTTTCGATGTTCAAACTTATCCACCTTGCCCACAATGCGGACCTCCACCAGGTAGAGAACATTTACATCCTGACTTGTGGGAATTGGAAGATCCATGGTACAAACCACCCCCAGAACCTGATGTACCAGATCTAATAGAGTTTGAAGAATCAGATCTAATACGTTTCTAAAGTTTGTTATATATAATTTTTTTATAGCAATTTGTTGTAAAATACTGATGCTTAATATAATGTATAACTACTATACGCATGTAAATAATAATAATAGCAATGATTATTTTTTATAATCAAACATATAATTACCAATTTTGTAAATTTAACAAAAGCTGTCAAACGTAAAATCTTTATTAATTAAAAAGTAATACAGTGTGTATGAAACTTATTTAACTATGTAAAGTGATCCACAAATTTAGTAACATTATTAACATGTTTCATTATTTCTACCACTTTAATTCAAAACTGAGAACATTGTCAAGAACTTTCTGTGCTTAATATATTCATTAATCTCATTGTCGGACGGAAACTGTAACTAAACGCTAATGTTCGCGCTCGATGAACGTGAAGGAGAGAAATCGCATCGAAAGAAAAACAGAAATAAAAATTAAATATAGTTTGCGTTTCATCCCGAAGTCATTCCAATCACACAACAATGAGTGGAGTTGATGACGACAGTAACTCCCTCCTGTCCAGACGTTTAGCTGAGGAACTTAAAAGCACAGAAGAGCGCATCCCTTATCGCAGAGTGTATCCGCAACCATACTGTTTAAATCTGAGATCTGTCGGTGAATTGCAGCTGTTATAACTATTCAAAATTGAAGATGTTGAACTTGTATTTATTTAATGACGATCACTGCGAGAATGTGGCACTAGATGGGGCAATTATCTCGTATCACAGTCGCCGGTCATAGAAAGAGACACCGGAATTGAAATAAGACAATGGAGTTAGTATCGCGCAAGGCTCCATAGTGGCGTTGGAATTGAGATATCGAAGATATGTTACAACAGACTTCTTAATTTTATTTTAAAATGTTCATAATGGACGTACCCTAAAAATAAATAGATAAATGTAATTGATAATAAATTATATTTATGTATAAATACCACGAGTATAATGGCGACACCCACTAATGGCAACGGTAATCTCATCGATGAATTTGAAGAAGCATTTCAGGTACAAAATATATATATATATATTTTTTTAAATATTTCTGTAAAACGAGATTTTAGAGATTACAAATTTGCTTTTTTTATGATTCTTTTCTAAATATAAAATACATTTTACAGCAATGTTTAAGTATATTGATAACGAAAGACGAAGGGTTAGGAAACAATGGAATTGGAGTGTCTGGTGGTTTGACTGTGGATAAAGAAGAAGCACGTAGTGAAGTTGAACAAGTCACGCTGAGGTTTATAGATCTAGCAAGACAGATGGAAGCTTTCTTTCTACAGAAACGATTTTTGTTATCTGCGTTAAAACCAGAATTAGTAGTAAAAGAAGATATCAATGATCTTAGAGTAGAATTAGCGCGTAAAGAAGATCTCATAAAAAGGCATTATGATAAAATTACAGTATGGCAGAATTTATTAGCAGATTTACAAGGTTGGGCAAAGTCACCAGCTCAAGGTCCAGCGCCCAATGGTAAGAATCATAAAGAAAAAAAAAATATTAAGAAATGATAACACAGTCAATAATTTTAACATACTTTAGGTTTGCCAAATGGTACTCAAAGTGGACAAAACCAACAAAGTGCCAATGGAGGTGGAAATGCAACAATGCAACAACAACAGCAAATATTACATCAGCAACAAATACAACAGCAACAACAGCAGTTGCAACATCTACAACAACATCAAATGCAACAACAACAACTTCATCAGCAACAGGTATTTAAGTAATACCGTTACGAGCAAAGCTGAAACTCCTATATTCAGGCAGCTGTCTAAAGTTAGTGTTGAGAAAATTTTTTTAAAACAACACATACAATTTAAAAAGAAAAAAACATGCGGCAGCGAAAATTGTATATTTCAAGAAAGCTACTTTTGCTGTAGCACTTATACTTAGAAGTTACATCTTAAATTATCATTCTTTAAGATTTGTCTCATTTTAGTCGTATAAATTCAAATATTAATAATGTAAATTATTCAATTTATTTATACAAAGTATTGCAGTTACATATATGTCACAAGCTTATCTATACTCACTGTAATGTTCTCATTTCAAAAAAGTATATTTATTATTACTATATTTCTATATTAGTTGTTACAATTTAAAACTGAATGAATATCAATGTTGGATGATTGTATGTATCTGTATGTATGCATGTGTGTGTGAATGTATAAATTGTATATAAATAGATTAAACTGTTAAGTAATCCTTTTGTGATTGAAATACTTATCAGAATTTTAGAAACTATTTTTGCTCCTTTTATTAAAAGTAACAGCTATTGAGGACATAAAACCATTCAGTCCTATTGCACAAAAGCAACGTATACCAGTGTTGCATATAATCAGTGCCTTATATAATTCCTATCAACAGAAATGTAATATGTAAGAATTAAAAACTTGAAGTGCTTTTATTAGTAGCTGCGATATAAAATTACAAAAACATAAATTTCATTTATGAGAAAGGAAAGTATCAAATAGATATACTTAAATAAATATGTTGTAAAATGGTGCCAAAATAATTGCTATTAAAATGTGTACAAATATTTAGCCAAAAACTGATATAATAAATCTGATAATGGCAATAATAAAAGAAAGATAAGCATATCACGTTTGCTTGACATTAATAGTACACCTAATAATCCCTACTATCTATACATATTAGGAGCAAGTAGTGATATTTTGAAAGTATGATATCATTTCATGATTCATAATTATTTAAAATTAAAGTATATATCTATAAATATGTACACAAAATGTTTGTATATTTTCTTCTATACTTTTTTTTTCAATGTAACAGTATGATTTTTTATATCATATTGGAAATTGTTATAAATTTGATATATTTTTCAATATTTACAAATTTCCTTGTTTATAATACAATGAATATCTTTTGCATGTAAACATATATGCATGTATTTTGCATCAATGTAAGAGCTACTAAGAAAGGACATAAAAATTTAATTCATTGTAAACTACGAGAATTACATGTCAAAATATTTGTTTCATTTATTCTCACACATTTTATGAATTGACATGTATCATTTTATCTAATATTTAGATATAACATTGGATCAAAATATTGCAGCTATTCATGAAAACAAATTATTACAAAAAAATGAGATTATGCCATTTTACTTGTTTTCACATTACAAGTAGATATTTGCAGAATAAATTTCTATTCATGGCAAAAGACATTGTGCTTTCTTTCATTTCCCTTGCCTATCTAATTACTGTTCCTAATCCTACTGGCTTGTAAGCTCGGAACTTATAAACCTGTGTATTCGAGTATATTGCATGTATGTACAGCATTTCTAAAATTTTCATCTTTTAATAATCTCTCTACTATCCTTGATCCTCCTATGTGCTATGTGCTTTCATTTGGCATCACTCTCTATGATCTAATTTATTTGAAAATTCATTTATGTCAAATGCATATTAATAAAGATATTATGATAGAATATATGTGATGTGAAATTGCAGGTGCAGCAAGGATCTGGTGCACCTCCTACATCAGGTCTTCAAGGAGTTGGAGTTTCAGTTGGACAACAAGGAATGTTTATGACACAAGGAGGAGTAGGCGTGACTGGCACACGGGGTGGATTTCCCGTTGCAGGTGTAGGAAGTAGTGCCCTCCAGGGTCCTCTCGCTTTCCTGGAAAAGACAACGAGCAATATAGGAATGCCCGAAAGGCGGAGTTGACGCGGAAGGGGGAGGGGCCGGGGTCGGGGTCGAGGAAAAGGCCGAGGAAGAGGACGAGGCGGAGGAGGAAGTTTACCTCCGCCACCACCACTTCTCGATACTTCGGACCCGTCGTCGTATGCTGCTGCTGCCGCAGTTGCAGCTGCTGCGGCAGCGCCCCTTCCCTCTCCACAGCAGCAGCCTCCACCACCTTGTACATGAATATATTTACAAGTTAATTTGTTACTGTAAGATATCGTTCTTGTATGTAAAATTGCGATCGCAGAAAATTGTTCTCGAGCTTATAGATTCTTATTTTGTTTAGTAAGAAGGACGAAACGCTTCGTTAATTTAATGTTAAATATGTAATACGTTTTATCATATACTTATATAAATATGAAGAAAATATGCGCATGTTGTCATTCTAAAAAAAAAAAACAGGAATTTTAATTGAAAAATAATCAATAATGCCAGTTTTATTAAATCGTTTATATCAATATAAATAATGGACATTTAGTTTTATCTGAAAAAATATTCTGTTCCGTAAATTGTTGATTTTTTACTTTGGTTTTATATTTATAACCAGTATGAATATGTTTAAACTGTTCAAGGAGATAAGCAGCAAAAACTGTACATAAGAAGATTGCTAACAAAAATTAAGAGAAGAAGAAATACTAACAAAAATTTCACATGTACATAAAATTAGAAATACAACTTTTCATACAATAACTCATATTGTATTTTATTATATTAAGTTCAAATTATTAACACGTTTACAAATTATGTGTAATATTTTACACAATATTGATCAAAATTATCAAATGTATTTCAAATGCAAATAAAGTATAAATTGCCCAAAATTTAATATACCTCCCATAGACATATCTCTATTATATTAAACTATACTTTGTACAAATTTAGTATATTGTATTCTATTCTGTACTACATCGTACAGTCGAACTCTTTTTTTGACATTGTTAAATCTTTCTTATTCTTTTATTGATGATATTTATGGTCATTGATACTATCGTTAATTATTTTAGTAAATGTAAAACTTTATATAATACGAATAAAAAGAACTGTACAAAACAAGATTCACCATATTTGTACTAGGTATTGCTGTACTGTAAGGATATAATTCTGTACACAAATACATTGATTACGGATATTTTATAAATTGTGTATGACTTTTATACATTCCGATGTATGTACTTAATTCGTTGTATTAACTTTAATCAGTTTGTAAAAATGTCGGAATGTTAAACGGGAGGTAAGCGTGGATAAAATATACTTTTATATATATATATATAAAAGTATATATATAATATTGTATATATGTGTATGTATATATAGAACAAAGTTATATATACATATATATACATGCATGTATACACATATGTATACGTATATATAAAAATAGAAAAACTTGCACCATACGACTTAAAATAATTGTAAATTTTAACATAATGCCTGTAAAAACTGGATCAGTGTGCGGGTCGGGCGACCTGTCATTCCCGCTGGTACATATGGTAACTTATCAGGTCCAGGACCCATTACTCCTGCAATATCTAAATGCATCCATGGTGTATTGTTTGGTATAAATTCATGTAAGAAAGCAGCTGCTGTACATGAACCACCGCCTTTAGTTCTCGCAACATTTCTTATATCAGCTGATTTAACTTTTTCTGCAATTAATATCATTTGATTATTTGATATATAACTTTCGTTTTTAAATATTAATTAATTATTATAAATTATTTTCTTACTTGTCATTTCATCTGTGAAGTGCTGCCAAAGCGGAAATCTCCATACTCTATCACCAGTAAGAGTGCCTGCATTTCTTAGTTTTTCAAACAACGAACTATTGTTCGTAAAAACTCCAGTTGCTGCTCCTCCTAAAGCAATTCTCATCGCACCCGTTAATGTTGCAATATCCAAGATAAAGCTGTGTACATGAAAAATATTTAATAAGAATAACTATATTGATTGTTACACACATATTGATTGTTATACACTTTCTAATTTATGTAACTACCTTGGATTAAATTCTTGGGCATAGCAAAGTGCATCAGCAAGAATAAGTCTACCTTCTGCGTCGGTGTTATCTACAATAATACTCTTCCCGTTCATTGCAACTACGAGATCTCCTGGTTTAGTTGCAGTTCCAGATGGCAAATTTTCAGTAAGTGGTATCAAACCAATAAGATTCAACTTTAATTTAAGTTCAGCAGCAGCTCGAATAGCAGCTACTACACATGCTGCACCACTCATATCAGCACGCATTTCGTCCATGTCAGCTGATGGCTGAAAAATTATACATTTGTATGTAATTATTTACACTAAATATATAAATTTATAATTACTTTACCTTCAAACTGATTCCACCAGCATCGAAGGTAACACCTTTTCCAACAAACGCAATTGGTTGGGAATCATCATCAGCACCTTTGTAATGAATTTCAACAAACTTTGGTGATTCACAACTACCATGAGATACACTAAGGAAAGAACCCATCTTCTTCTCTTCTGCCCATTCTTTATTATGGACTTTTACAGTAATTCCTAATTTAATCAAGACTGCCTGCACTTCTTCCGAAAATATTGTAGGTGTCATTAAATTGGCCGGGGAATCTGCTAAATGACGTGCCCAATTTTGAGCCTGAGCTTTAATACTTCCGATACGCCACTGTGTTCTTGAAAAAATAATTTTCATTATTGTAATATAAATAAATACATTAAACAAAAATTGAAAGAAAAAATGTAATACTTACTCCCCTTCTTGACCATACAACGAAACTTTCGGCAAAACTTTCTGTTTTTCTTTATTTTTTGAGCCTTGATAAAACCATGTTGATAATGCAGCTCCTTCTGCCGCAGCCTCTGCATCTCCTAATGTTTCTAGTTGTATATCTTTTACTTCAACTGCATCCAATGCACGACATCCAGCTAATGTAATTTCATAATGTTGTTATTAAGATATAATGCAAAAATTGCGTTATTACTATAAACACACATATATATATATGTATGTGTGTGTTAATAAATAATATTTACCTGCTGCAGCTATACGTATATTCTCTTTTCCTTCATGTATTTCCTCAAGTTGATTAATGCCAAGATTCTTTTTTCCAAGACCAACAACTGCAATTCCCACGTAATCCTTCTCATCCAAACCCCAAAATATTCTAGCATGACCTTTGGGGATTTTTGGACCTGCTCTGTAGTGGTACAAGTATTGAAATATTATTTAAGATTATTTATCAAATGAAATATATATTATTAAGACAAAGGAGGAATGTTTATATCAAATCAACAGAATTTTTTGAAGGACATACTGAGACACAAGTTCATAAATTTATTTCTTACAATAATTCTAGGCGTTTTGGACATCTATTAGCACATGCTGTTGCATCTGCAATTTTAAAATACAATCTAAAAATATACTATCCTTTACATATATATCCTAGAACATAGTCCTTTAGAGTTACTCTACTTAATGTTTCTAATAATTGTCCTAACTATTAATTAGATTAAAATTACAATTACTTTTCACAATTTTAACTATATTAATTCACAATTATTTCATCTGATTTATAGTGGAGACAATTGATTTGCACTCATAATATATTAACAGTAAGCATGACAATTATTTCCAATGCATTTTGATATCAATAAGAATTTACAACAAGTAAAGAATTATCTTTGAATATAATGCAATACAATATAACACTATGTTCTTGTTACCAAAATTCGATTCCTTGTTCACATATATGTACAGATTTAAGTATATAAATTTGTCATGGGGTTTCATATTTGTAACACCGTTTGCTTAGATATTATTATATAAATTGTAAAGAAATTATTAAAAATTGACACATTGATATTTAGAAATATGAGCCATATTATAAATCTGCTTAAAATATTCTACTCAGAGCTAAGTAAAATAACATTTAAAGGAAAATAATAAATAAATTTTTCATCTTTCTTCCTCAATACAATTATTGCATCCAACCAATTAATTATTATTATCTTTTGAGGAAGTTATCATTAATTATACTTAACTTATTTATTTATGAAATAATATATCTTTATAATTAAAAAATATTAACAAGCTACTATTTTTCATTATAAATTCTATCTTTCCTTAGCTCTGACTCTACTATATAAAAAACAGTGATTGTAACACTGATAGTAGGAACTTAATGCAATTCAAGTACATTTACTAATTCTTACACATAATTTGATGTGATGTTCTTGGCACAAATTGAATTAAACAGATAGTACCAACACTGTTTATGGTATCAACTTATACATTTCTACTATTTTGAATTTAATCTATTAGGCTACTTTGGCAAGATTTATTATAAGGATCACATCTTATATGATTAAAATTACATTTTTATTTAACAATAATTTCAAATATGTGATTTTAAAATATTTTTCCTTTTTACATATTACAAGTCACAAAAATATTTTCCACGTTGAAAGCTGTTTAGAATGATGAAATTTTATGTTTTATTTAGCATTCACAAATTCTATTTATTGAGCTAAGAAAACCTATATTAAACATTAGATAACTTATATAATTTAATTATAAACAAATTACAACTATTGCTACATAAGATTATGGCCAAAAACAAAAAAATATAAAAATACGGATAATAATAATAATATAATGATAATGAAATTCACCTAATAAAAATATTTTATTACACTTGTGCTAATAATCACAGTGCAAATACATTAATTTTAGGGTATATTAAACACAATTAAATTATGTAATGTTTTGGAAGGCCATATTTTATGAAAAAAATTATTAGATTTTACATCTTTATTACTAATATAGTCATATGAATTGTTTATTATTAAAGTTCAGTCTATTGTTAAAATATATCTAAATTGCAAAACAATTAAACAAATATAGTATAAGTAACAATACCTGTATATTTAATAAAAATATAATGAGAGAAAAGTATTTGTGCTGCTTAATATTCAGAATATTACTTTCTCAAATAAGTCAGTCTCTGACAATTTAGATTTCAAAATATTTGAATTTTTTTCTTCCTCAATTTTGTTCACAACAAAGTACTATAACATTTAGAATAAATTTTCACTTCTCGTTGTTATTTGTGCTTGAGCACTTAATTGAATAAATTTCAAAATATATATATCAATATTTCCTAAAGATTGTAGCAACTCATAACTAATTTTAAACTAATTCTAATATTTTAATAGTCCCTTGAGAATTTGCGGCTACTACAACATTTGACATTTGTTTCCAGCAAACTGCAGACACAAATTCATTCAGATCTTCTTCTCTTCGTTCTTGTATTTCTAATATACTTCGAACAGCATCGAATTTATATGAGAACAATTGTTTCGAGAGTCCTTTGTAATATACATAAAGTGCATTATTTTCTGACCCACATGCTACATAATCACCATCAGTAGTAAGACCTATAAAATTCTTTTCATTTACATGTCCGACAAATGAACGCAAACAATGTGGATTATTGATATTCCACATCTTTAATTGTGAATCCGTGCTTGCAGATACTATTTCTTCTTTATTAATAAATTTAACATATGAAACAGCCTTACGATGCCCTTTAAAAATGCAGAGTGCTTCCTTCATATTGCGTAAATCATAATAATGGACACAATGATCTGCAGATCCAAATGCTAAGTGACATGAACTACGTGGGTTAAATTTTACACAACATACATTAGCTTTTGCTTCTAAAGAAGCCACGGAATGATCATTATTTAAAGACCATAATTTAACTCTAGCATCATCTGACCCTGATGCTATAAGTTTTGTATCAACATCATTAAAATCAACTGACCAACATCTCTTCTCATGTTCCTGAAATGTTTTAGTTCTTTGACAAGTTGCAGCATCCCATACTGTTACTATTCCTTCATAATCAGATGATGCTAGCATCCCTTTATGAAAAGAATTCCATGAAACACATGATATTTTGGAGCTAGATACCATTTCCACACAGGGATAATGTATATCTACTGTGTCTCTTATTACAGCACTATAATCAAATACTTTTATACGTTTTGTAACTCCAGCTATCGCAAAGAATTCGTTATCTTTATCGAATTCGATGCTTGAAACAATAGTGGAATTATTAAAAATATCTGACGAATAATTCAAAGTCGCTAGTGGACGTAACGCTTTATATCTCGAGAATTTTACAAGATTTTCTCTAAAAACATCGAGTCCTGAACTAGTGCCTTGCCATGAATCACTCTGACTTTGAGATTTATGCCCAAGCAGTAATTCCTTAGCACGGGAGTCAAAATAGCATTGAACAAAATCATCAAAATGTGCATGCATCCTCTTCCTACGTACAGCTAAAGTAGATCCTACTGCATAATCATTTTGTTTTTTACTCCCTGTTGGATTAATAAAAGTGTCACTTCCAACATTTGCTTTCTCATTTGGTTTTACCATGTTCGAATCGATTATGTCTATAAGACCAATCATTTCTTTTCTTATAGCTGATACTTGTGCAGTATCATTTTCACTAGATTTTTTCAAATCTTCTACTTTAGGACATTTATTTTGTACATCTTTTAAAATATTTTCAACTTCTTCCATATCTCTTTTAATCAATGCTATCTCCTTTTGTAACTGATTCTTTTGCTCTTCCTTTTGCTGTAGTAAATGCTTTAAAAACTCGTGCAGTAATTTGTTCTGTGCTGCACATGTTTCTGCTTCCAGTAAATGTTTTCTTTGTGTTAATACCTCCAGCATTACATTCACATCGGGTAATGTTAGATTAGCACTTTCTGCAGCTATAATATCTCTTAATCCATCATGTGGTGGTACAGGTAAGTCTACACCTGTTTTGTGTCTACCATCAGCTGCATAAGAAGATCCTAATTCAGTAAGACTCTTAATTCTAGTTTTATATTTTGATATTAATTCATGTAACAGAAAGTTTGGAAAAATATCCTGTTGAGTTAACATGTAACTACATTTTGGACAACGGCCATTAGCTTCCAACGATTTTACTATACAACGATAACAAAATGTATGACCACAACGTGTGATATGAGCTTCATCGATTATTTCAAAACAAATAGGACACAGATAATCATTATTCTTATCTTCAAGGGTACCGCTAATCCTATGAAGAACATTTGCAGAATGATTTTGTTTACTCATTCTATCACTACATTCACCTACACCTCCACTGCTTCCAGGATTATCATTTCCCAAATTACTATCATTGATAGCTGACATCTTTTTCCTTAATTGAATAATATTTCTTAAAATACATTTAATTATTTTAAGATACATCTGGTAATTTCAATCTGCTTTTTTAAATCTCATATTTTTTAAAGTTTTGTTTGAATAAAACACCTTCTGATAAACGATTCTGACTAATAACTGATGCGTAGAAATAATTGCTTTACAAATATGCTGTTAAAATTTTTTTTATATAACAAAATATGTATCTGGTAACTCCTTCTGTGCAGCGAGTTTTGCTTCATATCATGCGTACAATACCGTCTCTCAGTCTAGTCTCTCCTGAAACAATGAAAATAATGCCAGTGAGCTCATAGGACATAAATTCCATTCAAATTCAATTTTGTTAAAAGAAAATACTTTATGTAAAGTTTTTAAAAAGAATAAAGGGAAAGCAATTCTGAATATTACATGTAAAAGCTCAGGCAGCATTATGACAATTGTTTCAGGCTGGAACTATGAATAAGACATTTAAATATTCATTAATCATATGTTTATATAATATGTAAAACAAAACTACATAAATAATATGTAGTATGTACTTTTTGTTGTAATTTATGCTTTATAATTCAATGTCATTAACTACTGATATCTGGTTTATCTTGAATTGATAAAATTAAATACTTGCTTGATTTGAAGGAGAACAGTTCGACGTTAAGTATACGATAATTATACCTAAATTACAGATACACATCTATCATTTGATTTTATATGTTACATGAAAAAAAAATATATATATATAAATAGTAAATATATGTGTATATATATATATATATTTATATTTAGTAAAAAAAATATTAACGCAGATTTATATAAAAAATACGTAGTATAAAAAAGTAGTTTAGTTGACATTAATTATTAACAAAATTTCCAACTTACAACAAAATATGTTTCTGCAATTTTCCTTTAACTAATTCATCATATTTAGCCGCCGTGGGAGTCAGTAAAACGTTGCTTTCATCTTCTGTTTCGTACACACCGAGCACCAATCCTTTCTGTTGGGAATTAAAATATCAAAAATTAAGCATCCAAGCATAGAAATTTTAGACTACAATACAATATATCGAATCATAGCCTCGCAAAATAAATTCGTTCTCTTCTCGAGGAACTTTTCATTTTTCGACAAAGTAAGATTTTTCTCAACCAAAAAAGAAAAAAAAAGAAGAAAAAAAAGAAAAAAGATCAACAATATACTTTTCAATAAAGTTATTAATAACTTGCATATCTGCACAATCAAGTCCTCCCACTTCTTTTTTCACGATGTTGAAAATACCGAAATGAAAAATTTTCATTTCGAGTAATTTCTTTGTAAAATTCGAATATATCGTTTATTCGACGAAATAATGGCGAACAATATCGTTTAATGAACAAATAAATAATATTATAATTACCTTCATGGTCGAGATGCAAGATAAGAAACGTAACTGCGAATTTCCGTATTGTAGACCCTTACCCCTGATAAGAGACAATGCCATAATTTGTTCAAGAGAGCACTTAGCAGTGATATATATACGTATGGCTATATAGATACACACATATATATATATCTGTGTGTATGTGCACGAATGTATATGCATACATGACCTGTACACATATTCCCTGAAAAGATACGATATCTAGATATCTTGATCACTCGTATTGTAGATTGGCGACTCTAGCAGCTCGTGTAGGACGCTTACGTAGCGACACCAACTTCCGTTTAATCGTCCCGCCTAAAAAGTAAAATATTCATTTCCGGTAAAATATTTCTCCCTGAAAACAAAAAAGACCAAGTTCTTTGTTTCTAACGCAAACATACTACAGGCTGCAGTTTGTATATAAAAATTTTCTCTTCCTTTTTGAATTATCAAACAATTCGACAAATTTTTATTCAAATATGTTCATTCAAATTCATGTTTTTTTTTTTTAGAATGAAGATTTATTTCGCTTACTAAATACTATGACATAAAGTATTTTTGCATATTATGTGTAATAAATTTTGATATTTAAATTTATGATAATAAACATTTGTAGTATAATTATTTGTACGATGGGCTTCCTATCATTGTATATTTACTTAAATTATTGAATCTTACGTGCATTTTTAAAATAAAGGTCCTATTTATTATATATTAAAATTAAAATAAATTAATATAAATTAAATATAAATTAAATATAATAAAAAAATTAAAAACTACTGACTATGCACTAATTTGTAGATTTCAGAATTATCACAAGTACCACGAATACCACATTACTAGGTATTCACTCAAATTCTGTTTTTAATCAGTGATGTAGTCTAGCGGAAATTTTCAAAGTTTATGAGCAAATATTATGCTTATGAGAATTCAAATATTTAATAAATTCGAAAGAGTTCAAATGATTCAATGACTTTCTTAATTAATATTTACTTTTCCACAAATTTTCCATCTTTTTGTTATGTCTGGAGAGATTGACAAGTTAGAATGGATGTTCAAAACTATTGAATTGTTTTAGTCGATATATCAATTCAAACTGAAACTGATATTGAATACTGTAGCTTTGCTTCCTACTTTTTAAATACAATAATTAGTAATACATGTGTGAAAATAAAATATTTGCTTAATGAAAATCTATCCGAGGGATGTAATAAAAATTTATTTGCTATTTAAAACCTCGTGAATTCGAATTTACAACACTACGATTTTTTCGCGTGATTTATTAATACGTTAATCTATAAAAGATATTCTCTTTTCTTATATTACATTTTTATATAAAATGAATCAATTTTATATATATTGAGTTAGATTTTAAACATACTAATACTAAATTTTTTAGTACATTAGGAAAATTTACAGGAATCATTAATTTCTAAAAATTATTTATTAAGAAATTCTGCCATTGGATCGTCTTCACGTTGTCGTTTCATCTGAAATGCTTCAATCTCATCCATTGTTGGTTCTTTAACTTCATACATGCTATTATAAGGACGCTTTCTTTCACTCATCTGCAGTAATTTTTCTGCTTCCTTTTGTCTTTCTTCTTCTTTCTGTAATGCTAGCTGCAATTTATCTTGTTCTTGTAATCTAGCAATCTTTTTCTTGTTCTTTCGTTTTTCTTTCTGCTTTTGTTTCTTTTCCTTTCTTTTAGATGATTTTGACTTCATCGTCCTCGATACTTTCTCTTCCTCGTCTGAGGAACTATCGTTACTTTCCGATTTTTCATCAGACAAATTCACTGTTCTTACATGAGATTTTTCTTCTTCGTGCACTGTCCTCTTAGTTTCAATAGCCGCTGCTTCGGCTGTTTTTTTACCTGCATTTCCCGTGCAATATGAATTTTTTAAAAACGAATAGCAACATTTGTATCCCCATTTACCAGCATGCCAATAAGAACCCCAAACAGAAGTATGATTATTTGGATATACATCCTCTTCGTACTTGGACCTAATTATTTGTCTATCTTGTCCCTTGATAATCTGTAAATAAATCGTAAAATATAATATAATGTAACTTTAACATGTATTCTATTATATTAATGTATAACTGTGCACACCTTTCCATATCTAGAATATTCAACGTATTGTTCTGTTTGTGCTAATAAAAGAGAAGGTGGAGGAGCATCCAAATGCTCTTCACCACCATATCTGTTAATTATGCTATCACGAGCTTTGTCTTTCAGTTCATCACGCTTCTTATCATATTCTTGTTTAAGTAATTCTAATTTCGTAGGTTCAGCGAGCAAATGAACATCAACACCGCGTTCATGTGCTTCCCATGCAAACAACTGAGCGTTTGCATGTCGTTGTGTATCTCCTGAAAAACGTGCGAAATTTTCACCTTTGTAATCGACCCTGCAATGGAACAAAAATATTTTAATATTCTTGAAATTATATGTAGTTTTAAAAACAATGAAATCTATAAACTGATTTGCACTTACTCTCTCTCTGTGCCAGTATAAGGATTATCACGCATTGATCTCGTTTTAGGATCATAATACGCTGAATTTGGATCTAAATTCCTCAAATACTTTGCCGTGTCCTCCCTAATTCGTAGATTCCTAACAGTAATACGTTGTTTGGAATCTACTTTTGTTCCTGGCATATCAACTTCATCAACATATTTATCCTCATCTTTATCAGAATCTTGTTCATCATTTTCTTCTGCATTTAACTTTTCTGCGCGCATTTGTCGTTTTGCTTCTTCGATTTTTTGATATTCTTCAACAATGGCTCTATGTTGCGAAGGATCGTATCCAGCCCACCTGTATTAGATATAAATATATATAAAATATTCTTCGTCTGTTCTTCAATATGTTAGGTGAAATTCAGGTACCTGTCTCTTTTGCCATCGTAGTCCGTCGATAATTCCGGTTGAGTAAATTCATCTGGTGCTATATTTGCATTCGTGTATTTTGCACCAATTTTACGTGGACGTTCCATACATTCCTTCTTTCTATGAGTTATTGCGCCACAATTTTCACATGCTCCTTTACGATACTTTGTTGCTACTTTAGATGAATCTACGCCACGTTTATACCATTCGTCTATATCGCTGTATTTCTTTTGTTTTTCAGGCTGTGGTCTTTGATGTTTCAAAGTAGGTCCCTTTAAATATTATTACAGTTATTACATATTGTTATTGTATAGTATTGTGAATACTAATGACAAAAAAGATATTTTCATAAAAAATTTAATGCATACTTGTGCTCCAAAATACCATGGTGTGGCACTGATATACTGTGGAATGTGTGGATTAATGTCTTTGCCTTCTTCATCTACTGCAGCTGGTGCCGTACCAGCTTTTCTTGCTTCTTCTAACTCTTTAGCTTTCCGCCAATCTTCTCGACTTTTCTTCTTGGGTTCATCTTCGAAATTACTTTTATTTTTTATGATCTTTGACACGGGCACATTAGTTAAAGTATTTGCCATTTTGGTAAGGTAAGTTTAGTTAAATAAATTTTAACCTCATTATAAGATGTAGTTGACGTTGACGTTTCGCTGAAACTAACCTCCTACAGTGAGCAATAAGATTGAGTTCTATATTTATATTTAAGGCAAGTTTACAACTTCTCTAACTACGAAATTACATATATTTAATGATTATGTTACGATTTCTTTCAATACAATGTCGTAATTATATTACATGAATATTTTATAAAAATTGCAATATACATTTCATATTACAATTAAAAAAAACTAATTGTACAATTTGCGTTACTTATCGTACGACATTTTACGCATTCTTATTTTATTTTATATTGTAAATTATTTAAAAGAATTGAAGTAGATAGAAATATGAAAGAATTGTGAATTACTATAAATGGCAAATAATGAAAATTTGCGTTGAATTTGTACTGAAAAAAATGTTTAATTATCAATGGAAATTACCCTAAAAAGTTCTATTTAAAAAGTGGGGATTTATCGACAGTATTGGGGCCTTATAAATAAGCATATTTTAAATTTAATATTTTCCCTGCAATTTATAGTACTGAGTATGTAATTAAATAATTTTTCAGCACACGTACTAATTAATGCTTCGAAAAATATTAATATGTTGTAACTTTATTACGAAGTAGCTACGATCTCCAGCTGGTACAAGAATTGGAATATAAGCTCAAAATGGAGGCAGTGTTAAATAGATCGATATTGTTCCATAATGTCATGTATTGTTACTGATTTTTCTATTTGTCGCATTCTAGTAAGTAAATATTTACTAAAGTATATTTAGTATGAAATTTTATAGTAGTAATTTACTGAATAAGACAATTAATTAACTATCAATATACCCGCGAAATTTAAGTCCTAACGCTGAAGCTAATTTTTTTTTTTTTTTAGTTTTTTTAAAATTTATTTTCGCCTTCTACCAATCCTCCTTTTTTGAAGTCTCACTTAAAAATGTAAATATTATTAAAATATATACAAAACATAGATTATAAAATAACATTAAAAATTAAAGTAAAGATTATAATTTTAATTGACTTTTTTGAGTTTTATAATATTTTAAATGTTATTTTTTTAAATTTAGAATAGAGCATGGAATGGATGGATCATGTCCACTTCTCCTTCCATCCTTTGGGGAAAAGGACAGTTCTGAAAGAGAAGCTTCATACTCGTCGCAAAAAGTTGGCCTATATAGGCCAACATCAGATGCAATTGACTTGGGATATCATACATTAGATAACAATGTCTGCCGTTCTACATCTTCGTCAGCTATTATATCAGTTCCAATTAGACAGCAAATTCTATTACAACAAAAGTGCATTTATGTCACAGATCTGTGTCAGCTGGATGATACTTTATTACTGAAGATTTTTAGTTGGCTGAGTACCAGAGATTTATGTTCTGTCGCTCAAACTTGTAGACGTCTTTGGGAAATAGCATGGCATCCGTCTCTTTGGAAAGAAGTAGAAATACGTTATCCCCAAAATGCAACAGCTGCGTTGAATGCCTTAACCAGACGGGGATGCCATACGTATATCCGTCGTTTGATACTCGAAGGTGCTGTTGGCCTGGCTGGGATTTTTGCCCAGTTACCATTTTTAAATTTAACTTCGTTAGTTTTACGACATTCCCGACGAGTTACAGACACAAACGTGACAGCTATCCTAGACAATTGTATACATCTGAAGGAATTAGATTTGACAGGATGTATCAACGTTACAAGAGCATGTAGTCGAATAACAACGTTGCAGTTACAATCGTTAGATCTCAGCGATTGTCACGGTATAGAAGATTCTGGCTTAGTTCTGACACTGTCCCGCATGCCGCATCTTGCTTGTTTATATTTACGACGATGTGCGCGCATAACTGATGCCAGCCTCATAGCGATCGCTTCCTATTGTGGCAATTTGCGTCAATTGTCTGTTTCTGATTGTGTGAAGATTACGGATTACGGAGTACGCGAGTTAGCAGCACGTCTTGGCCCATCATTGCGTTACTTTTCAGTGGGAAAATGTGATCGCGTATCTGACGCTGGTCTGTTGGTTGTTGCCAGGCACTGTTACAAATTGAGGTATTTAAATGCCCGTGGCTGTGAGGCACTTAGTGATAGTGCTACGTTAGCTTTGGCACGTGGATGTCCGCGTTTAAGAGCTCTTGATATAGGAAAATGTGATATTGGTGATGCAACTCTTGAAGCCCTTTCTACTGGATGTCCAAATTTGAAGAAATTATCCTTATGCGGTTGTGAACGTGTCACAGATGCTGGATTAGAAGCTTTAGCATATTACGTGCGAGGACTGAGACAGTTAAATATTGGTGAATGCCCGAGGGTTACATGGGTTGGATATCGAGCAGTAAAACGCTATTGCCGCAGATGTATCATAGAACATACAAATCCTGGTTTTTCAAGCTGAGTCTTCCAAATCATTTCTTTTTTTTTTTTTTGCTAATTTTATTCACAGTCTATTTATTAACCTATATTTGTTTTAGTACTTATTTAGATACTAATTTGTAAAAAAAAGGCAGTTAACCAGCTATATATATATACATACATACATATGTTATCCGTCATATATATATTATATATGTATGTATGTTTATGTATATATATTACTTGGTTTGCAATATGCAGAAAAGCCTTTCTTGCTATTTATTGACTTTATAATTTAATACACAAGAATTAATAGCGAAGTTCCATGTAATTTGTATATTTATTTTATAAATAAAGATCTTTTACAAAATTTTACAAAATTATTGAAAGTACTTATATTTTACATTTCGCAATTCTTTCATTAGAAGCAATTTTATTGAAATAAAATAAAAAATATAATACTATTGCAACTTCACGCGGGTACGATAAAATGTGTGAAGCACGTTTGTAAACCGATGTGTTTTCTCTTGATTGGCTCAACGTGTTATTACGTGTGCGAAACAGCGTGTTTGATTTAATAAAGTCATTGGACTGCAATGATGACAATATATTCTACTTAATAATTATAAAGCATAAAAAGTGTATGGTATACTGGAAATATTTTATGCGGTAAAATTTTCGTTCATTTTGCTTTTATGTACTTCGACCTGTGTGAAACATAACCTACACTGAAAATAACATTGTTCTAAACTTTTATAATTTAGGTTACGAACGAAGTAACTTGTCGGGTATTCAACATATACATTTTATCTTTGTGAACTAACACAAAACTATGAGACCTACTCAGAGAAGACAACAGGGTTTGCAATACGGCATTTATTTGCTAGGAATGCAAGCTCTAAACTATGGTATTGATAAAATTCCACCAGTTACTTTAATTACAATTATTGCACAAGTGGGTAAATCATAATGTAATCTTTGCACGAATGAAGTTAATACATCAGAGTAATTGTTATTAAGAAAAAATTATTTTATAGGTTTTATTGTATGTTGGTTTAATAAAAGTTCCATGGAATGCGGAAGAAGTATGCATATCAGCAATAAAAATATTTAAATATCGTGATTGGAATTCTTTCTTAATATCAAATTTTGAACATGATTCAGACATGCATTTATATTATAACATGGTATCTTTAATCTTGAAAGGTTCGTATTTAGAACCTATGTATGGAACGATAAATTTTGCTATTTTATTAGCTATTCTTTCATATGGATGCAGTGCTATGTATGTAGGATTAGGATATGCTTTAATGCAATTAAGTGGAGATTATGGATATTACACGCAATGCGCTATTGGATTCTCTGCTATTTTATTTGCATTAAAAGTAATTGTAGTTTGTGAGGAATATGATAGAATTCAAAATGTTGGAGGACTCAGAGTTTCTAGTAAAATTGCTGTATGGGTTGAACTAATTTTAATTCATCTTTTAGTTCCACAGTCTTCATTTAGAGGACATTTAGGGGGTATTTTAGTTGGTTGTACATATTGTTATACTTTTGTTGGTGAAATGATTGATAACATGATATATGCCGTAACTGGTACTCCTATTATACATGAAGAACAATTTTATAGAAGGCGCAGTTCATTATTTAGATGAATTGAAACTATAAATTTGAAATGATATTATTACTAGGAACTCTGATATTTATCCTAAAGACATTTATTTACAAAAAAAATTATATAGTTTCATATTGATATAACTTAAGTATCCAACAATCCATTTTAGAATTTACAAGAAGTTGAACATTTATGAATAATAAAACAGAATCTTTTTATTTTATTGTATAAATTTTTAAATTAATATACTAGTTTTTCAATTAAAGGATTATTAAAATTACTTATAAATTACATACATATTTTTATATACATTGTATATATATGTACATATAAAAAATTGTAGTTATATTTTAATTTGTTTCATATTGTAAATTTATTATAATTCAAAATAATAAATTAATTTTCTACTAATTATTTGTTACATTATTAACATTCTATTTATAAACATCGATTGTATATATTTTTATGCATATAATACATGATAATAAAAAAAACACATTACCTATACAACAAAACTTATTCATGCATATTTTCAGGTTGATGAAAATTATCAATCTGTAATATGATCATGTGTCTTTCCTATAGTAAAATATAAATATAAAACAATTCAATGATCAATTCTTTTTTCAAATATTTTGTACAAAACTAATTTCAATTATTCACATAATAGGCATGATTAGCATGATTTTAATATTTTATATAATTTGTACAATGTTACATGAGGTATTTTAGATTTTACTTCTGTGTTTAATAATGATGCCACTAAAAATATATCGAGATTAATAATAATAAGTATAAATCAGCATAAAAATATATGTATCAATAAAAAATTAAACTTACAGACTGTTTGGTAATCCATTTTATATGGAATGTCATAAAATACGAAATATGTGCACATTCTTCGTAGTAATGGTACATTTTCTTCAATGTCTTCATTTGTTAAATAAGACTTTATATGTGGTGTTAGCTCTAAAAAAATTGTTGAATGTTGAAAAAAATAAACATTTAATATTAAAAAGATCTGGTACTTACCACGCTCCCAGTTATCCATAATATACGAAATATTTTGTTTAATTGCAAGTATACTTTCTGTACCAAGCAAAGGATTTTTATTTTCCATGTAAGATTTTTTTAACATTTGAGATGAAACAAGTTTTATTTGCCATATAGAAAAAGTATTCGGTTCTTTTCCTATAATTTCCATACTTTTTATTAAATTCACCCATAAAGGAAGGAGACTCACTTTATCTTTTACTACGCATTCATATACAATTATAACAAATGAGTGTAGAAACTGTTTTTCAAATTCTGTCATTTCGAAATATTGTCCCTCATATTTGCAGAAAGAACTTGTACTTTTTAAACTAGATAATCCTACAATTTCCATTTTTTCATTACAAGAATCTAATCGCTCGTTCCAACTATTACTTATTCTTTCGGATGTATTGCTTGAGCTTTGTGATAGATATCCTGAACTATTTTTGGCTGAAGTACCGCAAGATTGCACTTTTAAGTTGTTGGTTTTATCTTGTTTAGGCCATTGCAAAAAACATTTTACTATATTTAAAATAGTCTTATCATTTGTAAACGAAGTTACACATTCGGGTCGAGCAGCCCATGCAATAACATTTTCCGTTGTTAAAGTTTGAGCGATTAAACTTCTAAAACCCTGAAAAAAAGTATAAAATTTCAATATATTTATATATTTTTAATATTGTAAAAAACTAAATGTTAATTACATGAGGATCCTCTATATACGGTAAACAACCAGCTCTCTGTTTAACGCTTAATGTTTTACATTTTTTGAGCATATTCTTGAGTTGTTGCCAGTTATGATCTTTCACAAAAATAATTTCCCAATATCGATCATCTTTTAATTCAATTTTTTTAATATTACATAATTGCGGTAGTAAGCATGGCGCTTGAAGTATTAAATCTTGCCCTTCTGCATCTTTCTCGGATTCAAATGTTAAATGCACTGTTGCATAGCAATACTGACTACTATCAATATCTCTAGGTAAAATGACGCGTGGTTCAGCAGCTAATACATATAAATGTCGTAAAGCTTGTAAATGATATCTGTAATTAATAAGAACAATTATTAAAATAATAAATTTTTACAAATAAACTATACTAATATTAACCTGTTGTCATTACTGTGTGTTGGAAATTTGGGGAATAGGGAAATTATAAGAGCAGCTACAGCACTAGGACTGTTAGAGAGAGTATATTTTCCTCCTCCAAGAAAAAGGAGACCAAGAGCCATATGCGTGGCTAAATGAGATCCATATGTAACAACGTTACTCGCAGGTCCCACACGAGTTCTTATGTGTCGACATATTCTCATAATCTATGTAATTTGATATAAATAAGTTAACGAATTTGATATAAATAAGTTAACGAACATAAGAATATTAAATAATTCGTTAACTTACCTCTAAATTTCCTGTTCCCGCCATCACTACAGCAGCAGAAAGTAAAGTAACGTTTAAACAAGTTTCGATAGTTGATTTCCCTGCTAGTTCAGCGATAGTTTTATGCGACAATGCCGTAAACATCTGGGCATAATTATACAAAGTTTTGAAAGCATTTCTATTAGCGGTCCCCGCAAATTTTAAACCCAAAGCCATGCAGGCACCCGCAATGATATTGCAGTAAGCTTGGCTGTATTTTAATAGATATTAATTAGTATAATGAAAATAATAATATTAATATATTATTCCATGTACTAACTTCATGGTTTCCAAATCTACATTTTGTCCTATTTCAGAGGTTGGCTTTTGTAATCTATATTTATAAACAATGTTAGGAACATGACTAGAAACCCAGGACTTTGTTGGTTCGATTTCATTCCAGAGAATAAGTGATTTTGCTAATATTCTCAATAATAAGAAATCAGGTCTTACAAAATCTAATAAGTATTGTGTATCAGGAGCTTGCATCCATTCCGCTACAGCTTTATTTCCTGTATCAAAGTACATAAGACCTAGAGCTATAGTCGCTCCAGGACTTGTCACATCGATATTTATGGAATCACCTTCTCGTATTTGATAACTAAAATTATAAAAAAAAAAGAGGAAGATGTAAAAAGAAATTGTAGTTACAAAATTAAATACGAAATATATTTACCTAGGTGATTTATATTTATCTTTCTGTGCTCCAGTAAAAGGCCTAACATGTCCTCCAACCATGTAGTAATGTAAAGTGTCTGGTATGTTAGCTAAATCTGGACCACCTCCACATCCTAATACTACCAAACCTAATGCAAGACCTGCTGCTAAAGAGTAAGATTCCCGATCTATACAATTTTTCATTTCTGGTCCTGGAGGTCTACCTTCAAATAATTTAATTACTTCAATAAAATCATGTGACTTATCAAATCACGAAATATAATTTTATATTAAGCAATAATCCTAAAATTATAATATTTTATATTGGATAATTACCAATTTCTGATAATAAAGCGTGTGAAATATGTCTATGGGCAGTTCCTTGATATACTAAACCAACTCCCATCAATGCAGCAACCTGAACGTTCTGTGGAACATTTAATTCGATACTTGTCGGAGGTAGCAGAGTTTCCACGTGAAGAGATAACAATTTAGTCATGGAAACATTCATTGTACCACGATGAGTTGCTGACAATCCTAACAGGAGTCCAACATTGGTAGCCTCGTGACATTCAACTAGGTACTCATACATACTGTAAGGTGCTAAATTTTTCAGATGACCGTTTAAGCCAAGAGCCATCAAGAATCCCGAATGTTCAATACCAAATTCGCCTTGTTGTTGCTTATTGTACACTATCCATGTTGAATCAATATTAGATGCATCTGGATGAATACGAAGACCTGCAGCTACACCATTATGAAATAATGGCCATAAATTCATATTTGGAGGAACATCTATGTGAGCTAGCTCTACAGTGGTTCCTCGAGGAGGTGCTTTTCCTATATAAATATAAATATAAATATAAATATAAATATAAATATAAATATAAATA